ATATGAAATGAAGTGGTATAGTGTTGTGTTTTGACATATTATCTTCTTATTCTTTTATTTTACTTATGACTATCTTTCTCTGAATATTCAAATTGTTTTTATTATATTTATCCAATAAAATTTTAACATATTCACTAATTGATACCCATTGAGTGTAAAAATTTCAAATGAAATAAAATAAATCAACATTGAATTATGTCAATTTTTAATTCACCATTTCATTCATTGACAGATAAATGAAATGGCTGTTCATATTCTTCATTGTTTTGTTTTTATTCTTTTTTATTTCATTTTCAATTATTCAAGATTGAATCATTTCATTTCAATTACTATGATTCGTTTTGGTGTGAAATTAAATTTTCTACAAAGTGCATTTGATATTCCTTCATATTCAAATGAATATTGTTTACAATATGGTTGTGTTTTATTATTTTGTTTACAAACACAAATATCACCACTCCATCCAAATGCAAACAAACAATTATCTGATTGTTTACAAAAACCAAATGCATATTGTGGTTGTTTAATATCAAATTTCATCATTCCTTTTGGTTCTAATGAAAATAAAAATGATTGTGAATCATTTATATAACCATCAACTTCATCAAATTTCTCATTAACATATCCTCCAAATTTATTTCCATCTTCATCTTCAATAATAATGACTCTCTATTCTTTATTATTTATTCTTTGATCAAATATTGATGTATTAATATTCCAATCATCAATATCTAAATCAAATAGTATATTAAATACTTTTTTATTTATCCATTCTTCTATCTGATTAATATATACACTATCATTTTTATTTTAATTTTATGTTTATAATTTCAAAATATTGATGTTTAAATAGTTAAATACATGTTATTAACACGTCTAGTCAATCATTAATTATTTATTTTCCAATAATCCCTAAATAATAATTAAATATAAACCGAATCAAAATAAAATGATTATTAACCATGAATTAAGCAATAACACTAACTGACTCTTGAATAATATCTTTTATATCGTTCTTGTCAAGGAAGTCAGGGTGTTGTTTGTTCTTTCCTGATGCAAGAAATTCATTAACCATAATAGCAACTTCTTGTTCTTTTACTTGGACTTTATCCATAAATTGGTAGAGTAAATTGTTAATGAACAAACCAATTTCGCCGCTTTGGATATTTAATTCATCGTATAACAATTTCAAACGTTTACCACAAATTTCTTGTTTTTCTGATAATTTCAAGTAAGCACATGAAAATACCCCACAAGCAAAGCCATGAGAAATACCATAATGGGTTGTAATATAATAACCTAATCCATGTGGAACAGAAGTACCTGCAACAGTAATAGCAACACCTCCAATAACTGATGCACTAATACAATCCATTTCTCTTACTTGTTGAATTCCAATTTTTCCATGCCTAAAAATCATTTGAATACCTTTTTTACTAGCCTCCATAGATCTTGGAGTTGCTTTAACTGAGAGATAAGACTCAATACAATGAGATAAAATATCAATAACTAAAGCACATTGATACTTATCAGAAATATGCAGTTGTAAGTCTTTATCAATAAGACATTTCCCTAAAAACATATGTGCTTTTATTGACTTTTTTGTTCCATTAGGTAAATTAAGAATGGAAAAAGGAGTAACTTCAGTACCAGAACCACTGAGGGTTAAAATACCATTAACAGGAATTCCATTTCCATCACTATTCAATATATCAACTCCATTTTTCATAAGACTAACAGCTTTAGCAGCGTCTATAGCAGATCCACCACCTATGCCAAGAATAAAATCACCAAAATTTTTAGTTAAATCAACACATTCTTTAACAGAAGTGTAGAGTGGGTTTGGTGTAATTTTATCATAAATGAAATAATCAACATTATTTTCTTTAAAAACTTGCTTAACAATATCAATAATTCCCAATGAATAAGGTGAATGAGAAGTAGTAACAATAATACATTCTTTTCCTTCAATAATCCTAGTAATTTTATCTTTTATAGAACCATATATTAATTGAGTTGGACAAATATCAGTAAATGTCTCTTGTGACATAGAAAAAAAAAACTTAAAACTATATTTAATTATGAAGTTCTTGAAATGAGGATTTATAAAAAAAAATTACAGTAACGCAAGAATAATCATTTTTTATACGCAACCCTGTATTTAACCCCCATTTTTATTTTTTCCATTCAAATGAAACATTGTTCAGTAATTGTTTTTAATACCAGAGAAAAAGAAAAAAAAAGTCCTAGGAAAAGTATTTATATAATTATTGTCTTTTCTTATAATGAAAAAATATTTAGAAGATGGTTCTTACTTCATATATTTATTCTTCTATTGTATTTTATTCAAGAAAAATAAATGCGTTAAGGTTTAAAAATGAAAATTCAATAAAGCTTTAATAGAATATATTTTAATGAATCTAAAAGCTGAATAATTTTGAGTTTTGTTTATTTTTGTAACGAATTCTTTTTAATTCTTTTTATTACCAGATAATTATTTTTTGAACACAACAGGAAAACTAAAAATACTTAGACGTCCACGAAAAAAAAGTTGTAACACGAAAGAAATTTCCAACAATGGATTTTAATAAAAAATAGGGTTTAAGGGAAGTAAAAGAAGGAGATTTGACTCTAAATAAATGTCTTTAATAAAAATAATTATGATGTTTCTCACAAGATTTTTCTAGTTGACAAATTCCGATCCAGGGGTTTTTGGTTTAACTAAAAAAAAGAAGAACAAGTTGTTTCTGCAATGAGCCAGAGAAAACGTGGAGGTAATAATGAAGGAATTTCTCAAGCCCTTTATTTAAAAAGACAGTCTAAATCTTGGGAAGCATTCCAACAATCAGTTTTAATGGGAATTTTAGTAAAGGAAGGATATACTTTTAATATTTCAGTTCCAGAAAAGTATAGTAATAAAGTTTCACATTTATTTAAGATTATTACAATGGAAAAACAAGGAGAATTAATTAAAATTGATGAAATAATTAGAAATGAATGTCAAAAACTTGCATCATTAGAATCTAAAACGATTTCTGATGTATCACAACTTAAGAGACATAGTGATAAAAATCGTGTATCAATTGGATTAAATATTTTATTAAAAGAAATTCAAAACCATGGATATAATGTTAAAAAAAGAGGAACAAGAAGAAGTGTTTTTACTATTATTGCTGAAAAATTTAGTGAAATATCTTTTGAACAGAAAGTATATTATGATAAAGCAACTATTCGGTCGTTAGGAAAACAAATTAATGATTATCTTCTTAAAAAATGTAAATCTATTGATAAAAAAGATTTAATTTCTTTTTCTATTGAAGACATGAATCAAATGAGTCAAGTCACTCCTCATTCTATTAACACAACACCTTCTGCTTTTATAAAAAAATTTATTCGTTTCAGTTCTTTAGACCAAAGTTTTAGTATATGTTAATAATAATATATTATTTAACTTAAATTGAATTTAAAATTTATTTCTTTGTTCATAAATTTAATGAATTTAATTTATTTGTTCTTCTTTTTTTTTAAAGAAAAAGAAGTTCTAAACATTTTAAAATTTTGTGAAGTATTAAAAATTAAAAAAAAAAAATTCAATGAATTACAAAAGTTCAGCAAGTTGAACAAGTTGTTGTTTTCTTGTATTTCTTGCATTTGATAAGAAAGTAGTGTTATACATTGTCATACGTTCTGCATTAATTAATTTCTTTAACATAAAATCTTCAAATCCAAAACCTTTTTTCATCCAAGAAGAAGTTAAGAAAGGAGGAAATGGCATATTATTTGGTTTAGTAACGACATTAATAGTATATCCTTCTTGAACAACTAATCCTTCATTCTTTATTTTAGGTTGAATAATAAAGAATACATTATTAAAATGAGAAGTAAGAATACGTGGGTCAAATGGCTCTTTTCTTTTTGGGTCAAGAAATACAATTACAACAACGTCATTTCCTACATGTCTTTTTCTTTCTAATTTTTGTGCATCTCCTTCTTGATTAGGTAATAATGGAGCAACATGAAACATAATACTATATGTATTAGTATATTTTCTGAAATAACTATAAGTACCAGTACACCCAGCTTTAGTATCTAACCCAGCAGCATAATCATTAAATCCTTTTAATTCAACTTTTTTTCCAAGTGAATTCATAAAATCCCAAAATTCATCACAACATTCATCATTACTAAAAAATTCATTTTCTTCTTTTTGTCCATCTTTAACATAAATAACTCCAAATTTATATTTTTTAATAATTGACATATTTTCAATACGTTCTAATTCTAACTCTAATTTTGGTATATTCTTTTTATCAAATGTCTTTGGTTTTGATCGTTTTTTCTTTTCTTGAAGAGGAAAGGCTTTATCATATTTAGCAGGATCAACTCCTAATGGAATAACACATCTATAATTTTCTTTAGGTGTTTTGAGGATAGCTCTTTTATACTTAGTTGAAGTATCAACAATTAAAAGATTTAATGAAATAGGATCCATATAATATTTTGTTGATTTCTTTCCTTTAAAATAATGAGAATAATAAGGAAAGTCAAGGTCAATATCAATAATTGAATATTTCATTAAATCAGTTAATTTCTTTATTGACTGAGAAGACACCTCTAATTGATAACCTGATTGTGCACAATTAACATCAACAATATTATCAGATTGTTCTATAGGTTCATTATTCCATGCTTCCATTGGTAATGAAACTGATGACCATGGATCATCACTTAATGGAATATCAAAATTTGTTCTATCAATAATTCCAAAAAGTTGGTCTTGACTATAAACTTTTTCTTTTGCAATATAACGTGTCTTAGGTAGTCCAGGAATTTGAGCTACAGTTGGACCAAAAATATCAGATATACTTCCAATATTTCCTGCTGAATTTCTTTTGAGACGTTTATCATTAATAGAAACTCCAAATTCAGAAGGAGAACGACATTGTTTTGATACAAAACAGTTATTTCTAGACAATTTCATCTCAGACGATGGTTGTTTAAATTGTTCTTTTGCAGAACAATTATCATAAAAATCAATTGGATTTGATATTTCACTTGATGGAGTTCCTGGTGATACAGAAGATCCAAGACTATGAATTTTAAAATTAGCATTATATGATGGACGTACAACAACACCTTTTGGAGGAAGGCTTAATCTTGAGGTTGGTTGAGCACGTTCAACAATATTATAATTAACTTTTTTTGTTGAACCAACAGATTCAGTCATAACGGCAAGTTCTGGTTCGACCTCAATTTTATCAACATCTTCAAGTCCAGTATTAAGTAAATCATCCAAGTCAATTTCAGCCATTTGAAGTGAAACTAAAAAGTTTAAAAATTATTTTAAGAATTTTATATTCAAATTAGCCATTAATTCATGTTTTAGTTCAAGTAATTTTCAAGGCTGTTCTATAAAAAAAAAATCTTCACAACTTTTGTTTCAGAACAAGTCATGAAACGTCCTATTGGAGTTATTTATATTCTTTTTATAATTTAATAATATATTTTATTATTTCATTTTATTATTTAGAAACTAAATTCTTATTAAATAAAAAAATTTAAAGAACATTTTATTTCTTTGTTTCATAAAAATCTACAAAAACACTTTTTCTTTTTTATTTTATTTACTTCTTTATTCAAAAATACTACATTACAAATTAGGAAATTGATTGAAATTCTCATTGGAAATTCTTTCAATTAGAAAATTAGAATGTTAATGTAGTATTTTCTATAGTCTTATCTTCCAATAAAATAGGTTTAGTTGTAGTATTTTTTAATACTACATCACCTACCAACTTAACATTTTTTCCAAAAACTATATTTCCATCAACAACAAGTGAGTTGAGATGTTCAATATTAGGAATATGTTGCATATGTTTTTGATATTCACTAATAAATTGGAAATCTTTACTAAATGTAACTGATGGTGGAATATCTGATACTTTTCTAGCATTATCAACCATATGACCTGATTCATTTAATCCAAATAATGTACTTTGAATAATAAATAAATCATTACATGCTTTTACTGGAAGGAATCTTGATCTTGGAACAATATATGCTGTTGTATGTTCAAATGCACTTACTGCACATCCAACTGCAATTTCTAATTGAATGACATCTCTTTGTCCATCTTTTTTACGATTAACAATAATATCCATATTATTTAATAATGTTCTTTTTTCAACAACATGTTGAATAGCTGACATATTCATCCAAATATTATTGGTATTAAATACTTTAAATTTCTTAATATCTTTAAATTCTGCAACATGTTCACTTGGAACTTGTGCAATTTCTAACATTTTTAATTTATTACCATATCTAATAAGAGTACCTCCTTTAACATCATTTAAAGTTTTTGGAGTTAATTCTAAAGCAAAATCTAAATGATTTTTAGAAAAATGATGCATAATAGTAATATCAGGAATAGCACCAAGATTATCTGAATTTGATAAGAATAAATATTCTTTTCCTTCTTCTTTTAAGGTTTGGAATGCTTTGGAATCAACAAATGATTGTAAAAAGTCTCCATGTCCTGGTGGATACCATTCTTCTTTTCTTCCATTTAATTCAGTACATACAGGAAGAAGAGTTTGTGCATCAATTCTTGGAAATTTATGTTGTAAGAAAGTTAATATTCTTACATCATTATCTTGTTCATATTTTTTAATAACCTTCTCTGTTTCAACATTTGTAGAAAAAGAATTCATAAGAACTAATGGAACAACAACTCCATATTCACGATATAATGCTTTTAATTGAAGTATTATAATATCTAAGAATGTTAATCCATTTCTAACTTCAATTACACTTTTTGGACCAGTACATCCCATAGATGTTCCTAATCCTCCATTGATCTTAATAATACAAGTTTTCTTTAATAATTCTATAATCTCTTCTTTTGTAAAATCTTTATCTAATGTGCTGTAATCTACAGAAAACTCTTTTGGAAGTGATTCAACTTTGTCCCATTCAATACCAGTAGTCTTTTTATCTATTTGTTCAAGATAAGCATTATGAAGAATTTGGAATGACTTTAAATTCTTAGTATCATCTTCACTGGCTCCTTGTTGAAGAAGGTGTTGGATAATTTCTTCAGTCTTTGTTCTGATCTCTTGGGTATTCATTTGATTAATTTTGAGTTCCATGAGACATTCTTATCTTAAAAAGAATATTCTACATGTAAATATTTAAACTGGAACGTCAAAGTTCTTTTATCTTTAAAATAGTTTCTATTTATTATTTTTTTTTTGTTAATACTTTTGAAAAGATGTCTTTTTTATACATAGTTTAACAATTAGACTGAATTAGTTGATATAGATATTGACATAATTAAATTAATACAAACAAGATAATAAAAAATTGTAGATTTAAATGAAATATGAATGAATATACATAAAATAAAAAATAGTAACATTTTAATATTGAATAAATCATGTATTAAACTATATTAATACTAACCAGAAATAATAATAATAAGAATAAATAACAAATTGTATAAATTATTAGTAATATGTTACTTTTTAAATAAGAGATATACACATGAGGATATGATAATAAAAGGTATTATTTTACAAAAAATTGTTAAACTATGAAAAATGAATAAAATTAGCAAAATAAATATAAAATAGTTTGTTATATACAAATGAAAATACTAAAATAATATCTTATATTAATAGATTCGTTTGTATTTTTTAAAAAAAAAAAGAAATAATCTAATGAATAAATAATATCAAATTATAATTTTCTTAATTCTTAATATATGAAATTGACATTCTCTGTTCACTTAAATAATAAAACATTAGTAGATAAGGTAATTTAAAAAATAGCTTAGTACAAAAAAATAACAATAAATACATTGTAAATTACATTATCATTTTGTGTCGTCATATTCTTATTACGTAGTGTTTAATTTATAAATATGAATTATTGAAATTATTAACTTTAATAATTATTGTTCATATTAAATATACATGAAACTATTCAATAAAATTATATGATAATAAACTGATAACAATAACAAATAATAACAGCAAGAATGGTGTTTTAATTTGGATAAACATAAAAAGTCATGTTAACAAATAAAATGCCAAAATTTAAGAAGAATTGACCGAAATAATAAGACAAGAAAGAAGAGTAGTTAAGAAAAAAAAATTCAATAACAACTACAAATTCAATCAATGACAATAAATAATAAATGGAAGTTAATAATTTTTATTGAATATTAATAATTATGAATTAAATAGAAGTAATTAAATTAACTAACAAACATCAATAAGAAATATTTTTAGAATATATACTTAAAGAAAAATTTTTACTAATTTAAGAAATATTTAAACCATTCTTTCAAAATCTAATGATGATACTCTAATTCACTTATTATTTTACATATTTTCTAATACATTCAAATTGTTAAATAAAATAATTAAATTATCACTTGATAAATGTTTTTATTTCTTGTCATTGTTACTTTACATTTTTTAATTAGTTTTATCCAAATTTCTTTTAGTGTTTTTTATTTATTTATTATAAATCCATTTAGATAGATCCTTTTCCAATGCAGGAAATACAACAAATTTTAATGCCATGGCTATTGTGTAAAACCTTAGAGTCTTGTAAAGAAAAGCAAACAAGACATAGAAATCCAAGGTCATACAATAAAAAAAGAAATGTCAATAGCAATAAATGGCATAACAATTATAATAATAAAGGTAAACGATACACCAAGGAAAAAGGGTTTAGAAGACGAAAGACACAAAGAAAAACAAATAAAAAACAAGGTAAATACAATAATAATAAAGATTATACAAATAACAAATATAAATGGCTAACAATAAAAGAGATACAAGAAAGAATAAAAAAAATAACAAGTGAATGGAATAAAGGAGAATACGAAGAAATACTAAAAAAATATGAAGGTAAAAGGAAAAGGAATGGTATAACATTCTTCAAGAAGTATATTCAATTAAAAAGAAAAAGATAAATGAAAAAACTAAAGAAGAGTTTAAAGAAAAAACAAAAGATTGGGAAGAAAAAGACATTAAGGCTATAGAAGCAGAAATTAAAAACAAAAACCAAATTAAAGAAATGAATGATAGATGTAAAATTGCAAGAATAATAAATAACAAAGAAAGTATAAAGAAAGTACAAAAAGAAATAGAAAATAAAGAAGAAAAGATAGAAGAAGAAAAAGAAAAAGAAGAAATACTTGCACTTCAAAATCAAATTACTGAATTAAAAGAAAAACTTAAAGAATTAAGTATGAAAAGAATGGAAGAAGAACAAGCCATCTCAGAAGAAATGATGAGAAAAGCAAAAGAAATAGTTAGAAAAGAATTTGAAGAAGAAATTAAAGAAATGAAAACACAAATTAAAAAGATTCAAACGAATTATGAAGAAATGAAGAAAGAAAATGAAAAACTCGAAGAAGAAAACTTAAAACAACAAGGAAAAATAAATGAGATAGAAGGAAGAAAAATCACAGAAGTAAATAATAAAGAAGAAAAAAATCCGAAGTATCCAAGCTAATAAAAAGAAGATGGAAAAAGAAAATGAAGAAATGAAAGAAGAAATTGAAAAGTTGAAAAAGAGAAACAAAACGCTAGAACAAAATGCAAACACATTAGAGAAGAAAATTGAAATGAAAGAGGAAAATACTAAAGAATTAAAGAAAGAAATAAGAGATAAAGAAAAACAAATCTCTGAAATTCAACAAGCAGCAATAATAAGTCATGAGATTGCAGAAAGAACAAGAGAAGAATTAGACAACACACAAAAAGAAAATGAAGCACAAAAACAAATAATATCAAAACAACAAGATGATATTGAAAATTTTATCTCACAGAAGGAACTAGAGAAGAAGAAAACGATGACACTTGTGATAAATACACAACCAGTATTGAGGAAAGCATCATCAGGAACAATGGAGATGAACGAAACTACTCCTATGAAAAAGACAGTAGTGGAAATCGAAGAGGAAAGCAAAGCACTGATTGTCAAAAAACAAGAGATGATAATCAGACAAGAAATACAACAAAACAAAGAAATAGAATTTTAAATGAAGTGTTGTATTGTTTTGCAATTAATTGGTTGAATAAGAAATTATATAAGAAATTAAGATGGGAACAAATTGAAAATATAATAAAAATGATAAATATCAATGTAAATAATGAAAATGAATATATTAAATATATTAAAATATCACATAAAATAAAAGAAAGCACTAAACGGTACATTAAAGTGAAAATAAATGATATAATGGAAGGAAGAGTAGGGTGTAATTCAATAATAAAAAACATCATATTAAAGAATAACTCTACAGAAATTGATGAAGAATATCTTAACACTCTCATCAATAAAGTGAAAGAAATGAAAGTAGAAAAATGTACAAACATTAATTACTACTTTCAAAGAAAAGAAGCTGACCGATTAATAATGGAAATTAATAATAGATGGATATTGTCAGGAAGCAGAATGGATTATCTGCAAGATGATATGAAGAGGATTTCAATGGTTATGCACCTCTATCTCCAAAATAAAATAATAGGAGATAAATTTGATGAAATAAAAGAAATCCTAAAGAAAATAAATAGACTAGAAGATTTGGTCAATAAAATTGTACAGAATAAAGTGCAACATGAAATTAAATGAACATGATGAAGAAGGAATAAAAGTTAAAGCACTAGAAAGAATAAAGTACCTAAAATATATGATGACAATGATAAAAGAAAGAATTAAATTTAATAAGGAAGAAATAATCAGAATCAATACAAATAAAATCATGTTTGATTCTAACAAGAAAATTAGAATAAGGAAGAAAGACCCAAAAAATGAAATATACCCAAATAACGATATTACTTTAGAATATTAGAAATGTTATATGAAACACAGGTGAAATTAAATAAAGAAAATTGGAAAATAAAACAAATCACATCGTGGAATGAAAGATATAGAAATTAGGATAATGTCATAATAACAATAAATGAATTAAATTTAAGTATAATGAGAATAAGTAACTGGAAAGCACCAGGAATAGACACTATATATGGGTATTATTGGAAAAGGATGTCATCATCAAGAGAAGCCATTCTCAGTATCTTCAATGAATGGTTGAACTTCCCTGAAAACATCCCATTAGACATGGTAAGTGGAAGAACTTTATTAATCCACAAAGGAGGTGATATGAATGATGTCATTAATTATCGTCCTATCAGTTGTACAAATGTAATTATGAAAGTATTTACCTCCATATTAAAAGAAAAGATTCACAGAAGACTTAACATGAATTGTGAATCATTGAAAATTAGTAGTAATTAATTGGGATGTAAGTTACAATCTTTAGCTGCTAAAGAAGGAATAATTAATAGTTATATGTTAAAGCAGCAGAAAGAAGAGAAATACCCAAAATATGTGGAGTCATATTATGACATTAAGAAAGCATATGACACAGTAAACCACGAATGGGTAATTGAATCATTAAAATATTTTAATGTAGAGGGAGTCATCATTGACGTTATTGAAAGTATGATGACTAGATGGAAGATATTCATCGGTTATAAATTTAATGAATATCTAGGATATATTAAATTAAATAGAGGAATTTTACAAGGTGATTCCTTATCAAATCTACTCTTCATCATTCAGATGAATGTAATTTCTCAAATCATCGAAGAGAAATTCCCAAAATCAAATCACACTTTATATATGGATGATTTGAGAATAATGACAGAAAGTAGTGAAGAAATGGGAATGATCCACAACGAAATTAAGGAAATAATAAGTGGAATAGGGATGGAAATGAATGAGAAAAAGTCAGGATTGGTATTAAAAAACATTAAGGAAATACCAAATGGAATGCAAAACATCACAGTCATTGAAGGTGAGGAATTGTATAAATACTTAGGAATATGGCAGTCCGACGAAATTGATGATACCTTCAATTGTAAAACCATCAAAGAAAAAATGAATCAGAAGATGGAAGAAATAAACAGTGATGAAAGTAGTAATAGAAGATATATTACTAGAATAAACACGGAAGTAATCAATATCTTCAGATATTCAGCATCAGTTGTAAATTGGAAAATCACTGACCTAGATAAAATTGATTTGGAGATAAGAAAATATTTAA